TCCTATTACACACGAAAATGATAATTATTAATTTATTCCTTGTAGAAAAGTTATAGGAACTACCTAAAATAGTTAAGAATTTCAATGTGTATTATTTTAGTCATATAATGAGAATTATGATAATCCAATTAAACAATTTAAGCCTTGCATTAAATAAATTAAATAACCTAAATCTTAGTCTGTTGAACTTTTTTAAAAAAGATTAAGAAAATAAGGGCTTGAGTAAAAAAAGGCAGATCCGATTTTCTATGAAGTTTAAAGAAAATTTTATACCTATCAATATTTGCCTAAATGCACATAATAAAAATCAAATTTGAATTATTTATTTAATAATAAAAATTAAGTTAATGATGATTAGTAATAATTTAAAAAATGTACTGAAGTTAAGTATAATGAAAGAGTTTTTAAATTTGGATAACTAAATTATGGATAAGATCATAGAAAAAGAAGTTAAATAAATAAAAAAATAAATGTTTTAAATTTATAATAAAAATAGCCAATGTAATAAATAGATAAGAATAAGAATTACAGGCTTAAAAGAAATGATTATATTTCTATACTATAAAATATATTATTATTATTGATAATCAATATTTTTTCTATTAAGGAATAATTTATTATGGTTTCTAATAAAGCAAATTAATAAATAATTAAAAATAATTATCTATATTAAATTCACCTCACAATACATATAAAAAAATAATTATTAATATTATTATATAGTTAAATTATTTAATATTTTTATTTTTATTTTAATAATAATTAAATATTTTGATATTTAATTATAAAAAGAAAGTTATTTTTTTTTCATAAATTTAAATTTTTTTTTTTGTTTTTTATATATTTTCTTCTTCCAAATCTTCTTTATAATTTAAAGGTAAATCTAATTCTTGGCTTTTATAAAATATCTTTTAAAAATAAATAAAAAAATTATAAAATTATTTACTTATTCTTTGATTTCATTAATTTTTTAAATAATTTCATCTTCTACTTTGTATATTTTATTAAGACAATCCATTTATTACTAATAGATTTTTTTCATCTTTTAAGTTTCTTCTGCCAATTACACGAAATTTTCATATTTTTCTACAAGTGAAATAACATAATCTTACATTGCCTTTATATCACCTTTTCGTTTTCTAAATTAGCATTTAATACTTTTTATTTAAGTTTAGTTTTTTTGACTTAAACAAATAGTTAAATTTTAAGGAGTATTACAAATTTATTCCTCCAAACAAACTGTGCTAAAATCAGTAAAAGTTACATTATTATTATTATTATTACTATTAATTTTTTTTCTATCCCTCATAAAAGAATTCAAAAAAACAGGTATTTTTGGTACAGAATAAAATGAGTTTTCAATAGTGGGTAATGATTAATAATCAATTATATCAATTTAGCTTGAAATTTTTTATAGCTTTTTAACACAAGCTTCTTGCCCATTTTTATTTTCATTTAAATAATTTTAAAAATCTTAAGAATTTTAAAAAGTTTAAGAATTATAAAAATCTTAAGAGCTTTAAAGATTTAAAGAATTTTATTTTTTTTCCAAATATTAAGATGATTTTTTTAAAGTTTTTTTAAATTAGGTAGTATTATATCATTTTACTAAAAATTATTTAAAACAATTTTTTTATTTTTGCTCTACTATATATTTTAGCTAAAAATATTTCCTGTTAAGTCTATAATTTGTATATTTGTGATATTTTTTTAAACTGAATGCAAAATATGAATGTAATTTTCGTCATTTAAATTATTTTATTTTAATTCTAAATACCTTATATGTTTGTTTTTTTCGATAAAATATCCTATGGAAGAAAAATAATGAAATTTTTTGATATAGCTTAGGCTTATTTTTTCTATTTTAGAATCATATTATGTTAATGATTCAAAAAAAAAATTAATAATTTCTTCTTTTTAAATTTCCAGATTATCTAAATTTAACTCTAATAAAGTTAAATATTAATTATATTTAATCTTCTCTATTAAAAAAGTTAAACAATTCTAACTTAATCTATTAAAACCGAAAAGTAAATTTTGACAAAACGGCAAATTTTTTTCACAAAAGTTTGTCATTTAAAAAAACCCTTAATCACAAATTTCATTTTTAAAAAAATCAATTTTGATTTCTCTTTTTTACTAAAAATTATAATTTTTACCCAAAATAATAATAATTTTCTAAATACAAGGTGTATTTATGCACATGTTGTTTAGATAAATACTATTTATATGTGTTTTATAATTAATTATTTTCTAAAATAACATATCGGTATGAATATTTAATTAAATTTTATGTATTTTTAGTGTATTTATACTAGTTACAATTGATAAAATTAAAAAAATTAGCTCAAATTCTTCTACTTTTAAAGAATTATCATTTATTATTAATTCATTTAAAGGTTTAATTTAATTCAAATCTTTTTTTTAAAATATAAAATATGTTTATTTATTCTTTTTTTTTTTAATTTGCCTTATATTTTGATAAAGGTTTAAATGATTAGTTTTGAGGGTTATTATTAGTTTTTTTTACAATTTTCTATATAGCTTTTATTTAATATAGAAATTTTGTTTTTGAAAGCGTCGAAATTATAATAATAATTATCAAATTTTTAACTTTCTTCTTGATTTTCTTTTATTTCTTGACATTCGAATTGTTTATTTTGCATTAAAATTTTTCTAAAATTACTTGAAATATAATTCAAGCTAACATTAAAAACGCACTTTTTTTGATCTAAAGATTTTCTTATCTTATCTATACCTATGTCTGTTAAAAGATTATTCGATAAATCCATATACTCTAAATTTTTAAACACATTAAGTATAATTCGTATATTTTAAGCAGCCAAATCTCCAAATTTAGTATTTTTGAGTCCTAAAAATTATACTTAATTTTATTAATTAGGCATTTAGCATAGTAAATTAGAACATTTACTGGAAAGGATATTGTTATTGAAATTTAAAGTTTTACTTTTGATTATTTTTGATTTATTTATTATATTTGTAATATTTATAAATCCTTAATAAGTTAAAAGACAATTCGAAAAATCCGTAAATTCATATTGAAAAATTAAAGGAATTAATAAGTCCATAGATTCGTCTTTTAAAGGATTATTTGAAATGTTAAAATAATTTAATTTTTTGCACTTTTTTATACTTTCTATTAACATTTAGAAGCCAACATATTCTATATTATTACCTTTTAGAGACAAATATTACAAATTTTCACATTGTTCAATTATACCTAATATTCGAACTATTTAATTATTTCCTATATTCGAATAATCACATATAAAATGGGTTAAATTTTAGTTTGGAAATTGTAATAATTCTTAAATATTTATTATATCTTAATTCTTTAGAGTGCTGTTTAAAAAATAAAATTTTTAGAGATTTTTTAAGATTTTAAATTATGGAATTATACCTGAGATTGTTAATATTTGAATGTTTTCTGAAAATTTATTAATTAAATATTAAATCAGATTTATTTTATTTTATTCTATAGTTTAATTTTCAATGCTAATTTTTAAATGTATTTTTTGGATTTTTTATAATTGCTCACAAAAACTTTTTATATATAAATCATTTGTTTTTTATGTTATTTCTAATTCTATTAAATTGTTTTAGTCCATTTTTTTTTGTTATTAATATAATATTTGTAAATAAAAGTAGTATTTTAATAAAATAAAAATTAATAAATTTGTTAATTTATTAATTATATATAATACATATATAAATGTAATAATTTTTGTACAATAAATACAAGATTTTAAAACTATATATTTAATGGAAAAATTAATTTAACAAATAAATAAATAAATTCAAAATAAGTAAAAAAAAAAATTAAGATAAACACAAGTATTAAGGACCGACCATTTATGACCAATAACGAATACTTCCCTAATAATAAGTTTATTATTAAAATTATAAGCATAAAGCTAGAAAATTTTAACATTTAATTCTAATTTAAATATAGAGAATAGCTAAATAAAATCAAATATGATATGGAATTAATGAATAGCCTAACGTATTTAAGTTTGAAAGGGGGTGGTTTAAAATAAAAATTAAGGATCTAAAATTTTTATTCATTAAGATAGCGATATTCATGGATGATATTGGAAAAAAAGATAAGGCTTAAGGGATATTTATAAAAATTAAAATTAATCAGTTTTTTATGGAAAATGGAAAGATGATAAATAAGTATTTTTATTTATTTTATATTGAGAAAAAAATATTTCATTCATAATTTTTACTTATATTTATAGTTATTTAAATATAAAAAAAAATTAAATAAATTACATTGTAAAAACAATGAATTTTGGATTGATCAATAATATTATTAAGGAAATTACTAATATCGAATGAAACATACATAAAAAAAGATTAATTTACCGATGGATCTACTTATGAATGTAAATTTAAGGATAATAATATTAACGGTAAATATGGTAAATATGAATGGTCAGATGCTAAATTTTATGAAGGAGAAAGGAAAAATAATTATTTCACGGAAAGGCAAATATACATTGGTCTGAAGGAAAATTTCATTAAATATATTATTTAAATAATAGAAAATAAGGGAAATATATATTTCAATGGAGTGATATGAAAAAATATATAGGAAATCAGCAGGATGGTAAATAAAAATAGAGTATGAATTTATTTTTTAAATAATGAAGAAAAAATGGACTTTGGTAAAGTTGAGAATTACAAAAATGTTTTAGAAATTGAAGTTTAGAAATTTTTAATAATGAAGATATATTAAATTTTAATAATACATTTAATTAATGATTTAAAAATTATTTTTTTATTATTTAATTTTTATATGAATTAAATTATTACTTTAAAGTATTTTTAATTTTAATTAAATTATAATATTAATAAACTTTATAAAACATATTAAATGATTAACTAAATAATATCATGATAAATAAATTATATTTAAAAAAAAATAAAAAACAAACTTTTTTGTTTCAGTAACATTAAAAATTTTTTGATAATAATCATTCCATTTTTTTACTTTCTTACTTAAAAACCATTACTTTTTAATATTTCAAGAAGAAACAAATAACGAAGCAATTGATAATAAAAAAAAGCAAAGAACTCATCCAAATATATAAAAAAACATTGATTCCTTATAATTCCAAATAATAAGATCCTAAATTCCATAAAAGTTCACTAGCTAACCATATTCCCCACAATAAGAAAAATAATTTTTTTTTCTAAAAATACATTTCATTTCTGGCCAAAATCAAAGGCATTAAACACATATACCAAATATAATATTAAGCTGTGCAGACTTTATTAAAAACAACAAAAATAAAAGTTTGAACAAACATACAAAAAGGAAGATCTTTATAAAACTTCCAGCCAGCTAGGAAAACTAAGAAAAACTAAGGAAGAAAAGCCACCAAAGAAAGAACTTTATTAAAAGGAGAATCAAAATTCAAATAAATGTAATAAAAATACACTGAAAAATTATGTCTATTATCTTTTCTTATAAAATGGTATAAATAAGTTTCATACAAGAATACCCAGCCATATTTTTAATAAAAAAATCCTAATAATATTAAAAATAAACCGCCACTAATTAACGTAAATTTAATTCTGTTTAATGTAAAAAGTCTTTTTGCGGTTTCATGCTCTATAAAAAAGTATATTGGCAATGCATATATTATAGGATATATTTTAAAATGGACTGCGAAACCGAACGCTAAAGCACCTAAAGTGTATTTTTTATTCAAAATTAAATACAAAGTAAGGAATACTAAAAAACATATTATTGTATCTGCACTTCCTCTTGTTGAAACATTGAATATAATCGGATTAAAAAACCAAAAATAAGTCAAATTATTTATTTATGAATTATTTAAATGACTACATGATTACTTTAGTATTTTTTAAATTAGTATGCCTCCTAATATATCGTAAATAATAAATAAAAATTTCCCAAAGTTCTCATATAATACCCAATTAGGAATCATTAAATAAGATAAAATAGGAGTGTATCTATATGTGTGGCGGTCGTATGGAGTTTTTCCTTCCATTACATATTTTGCAGCATCAGAATATACAAAATAATCAATATCTGTGTATTTTAAATTATAATAATAATCTTGGAATTCAGCGTATATAATTAAAGCTAGACGAAGGGCTAAACCTAAAATTATTGCTTTGGATATCATTTTATATCTTTTTTTTTATTTTATAATTTTTTTAGATAAATATATTTTATTTATTTCTATGATAAGATATAATTATAAAAAGTATTTTTAAATTTTTTATATTTATAATTTGTAAATATAGAGTCAAATTTATATTTTTTAAAAAACTCAATAAAAAAAAATGCAGAATTCATTTTTTCTCGATTTTTTTTTTGAAAAATTGAGTTTTTTAAAAAAATTACAGAAAAATAAAAAAAGCAAAAACAATTAATATATATTTCTATTGTTATAAAGAATTAATTAAACTAATTTTTATATTGTTATCTATATTTATTAATTATATAATAAAATAAATACAATAAATTAATGTATAAATAATCTTAAAACTGTTCAGAATTTTAAGAATTATTTTTCTTTTAAGGATACTGACTAATTTTTTATTTTTTTAAATAATGTGAATTTGCAATTTTACAAAATAAAATTATAGAGGAGTTTATTATGTATATAAAGATGAAAATAAGAATGTTGTAAAATATAATATCTATAATTAATTACATTTAAATCTTACTTATAAAAACGGATTAAATGTTTACTATAGAAACCTAATTTAAGCGATATTCTGTATATAAATAATGACATTTCTGATAATATTGAAATCATTTAAAAAAATATTATAATAAAATCTAAGCAAATAATACGACAGAAATACTTAATTTAATAAAGGTTAATATCAAAATACGTATAATAATAATTATAATCTTAAGAAATAATATAATTTATTAAACTATAATAAAGTTATATTAACCTGTCATAGATGACATAGAAAAAGCGATTTAAATATTTAAAGGAAATAGATAAATAATTGAAATTTTAAAAATAAATTAACCTTATTAAAGAAAAACTTTAAATACTTAATAGATTTCTTTATTAATAATAATTAAGACATTAAACAGTTTTATGAATTTGTAGAAATTAAAAATGTGAAAAATTAGGAAGAGGAATTTTCGTTACAAACGATATTTAAAAGGTTAAAGTTTTAATAGTCGAAGTTGAAATGACTTAATGAAGATATTAAAATTATCTTATTTTATAGTGTTAAAATAATATTTTTCTCTATAAAAAGACTATTATAAATAATATATTAATGACGAAGAATATTTTTACCTGATTGATTTTTTAGATATGATTATTATGATTAATAATATAAAATATTTTTAAAAGAATACTAATGTTGTAAATTTAATCCTTATAAAAAACAAAAAGTTAATCTAAAAGAAAAAATATTTATAAATTTAGATTAAGTCATATCTTTTATAGACTATGTCAAGGATTTTAATGAAGAAATATTATAAGATGAATAGTCCTAATTTTTGGTTACAATTAATGAAATTAAAGAAAAGATAATAACTTATAAAAAAGGAAGAAAATAAATAGCAAAGATAAGAATAACAAAAATTTGTATATTTATGAAAAAAATATACTAAGATATAAATAAATTATTTAATTTTTTATAAATAAATAAAATATTATGAACTTTGTTGAAAATATATTTGAGTTAAATATAATTAATTATATTAAAATAAATTATATAATTTATTTTAATTTATAAAATTAATTGTTTTTTATTTCTGTATTTTTTTTTTATAAAAAACCTATGGTACAAAATTAATAGCTTGTCAACCTTTTTTCTTGCCTTTTTATAATCGATTGAGTTTGTAAAAATAATTACAGAAAAAAAAGAAAACATAAAAATAATTAAAATATTTTAATATGATAAATAAAAATTACAAAAATTCAAAATATAATATGTATTTAAAAAAATGAAATTATTATATTAAAAAATATGAAAGATAAACAAATATTAAGAAATTACAAATTATAAACAAATAAAATGCTTTAAGAAAATTATTTACAAATATTATTTTATAAATATAAATTACTTATTAAATTTTATAAAAAACTTATTATTTCGAAAATTTAAACTTTGATTTTAGTTATTAAATATTAAAAAAAATATAATTTACTTTGTTAAAATCCTCTCGATTTTTATTATATAAATTAAATCAATTTTATTTCTATACTTTCATTAAAAAATAGACAAATAATATTCTATGGATTATATATACTATAAGGTTAAAAAAAAAATGCTGTTGATTTTATCAAACAAATTGTAAAAATGTATTTATTTGTTTATTTATGAACTATTATTAAAAAATAATGTCAGTTAATAGAAAATATAAATATATTTTTTGTTAAAATTATATATTTTTATAAAAACTTATTTGTGGAAAAAAATGGATTTAAAATATAATTTTTATATATTAAAATATTGTAAATAAAAATAATAAATTAATAAAAAATTATATATTCATATTCTTAATTATATTATATTAAATAACATGATCAAAGATACAGAAAATATATAATTATAAAGGTTTCCAAAGCAAACCTAATCAATCAGAAAATAAAAAATAAGAATGAAAACATATAAATTATAATAAAATTAATATAATGATCAATTTAAATAGGCTAAAATTAATAAAAAAGATATGAGTATTATTATTTATATCCAAAGAAATAACTAGTAAAATAAGCTTTAGAAGTTTTCGAAGTTAACTACTAATTAAGAATAGTACTAAAATATTTTATTATCTAATTTACTAAAAGTAAAAATATTAATTATATTAATTATTATATCATTTTTTTTAAAAAAAAAGTAAGAACCTTAACCAAACTATTTTTTATCTAAACATTTAATATAAAATGAAATTAGAATAAAAATGATTGATTGGATGATAGAATTTACACAGAATTTTTAACTTTGTTTTGATACTTTTTTTCATTATGTTTTAATATAAGATAATTTTTTTAGAAATACTCAATTGTATAAAATATTTTTATATTTATTTTTTTAAAGAAATTATAAAAAGATAATTAAAGGCTTAAGATTTGTACCTGACAGGTGTAACGAGTATGTACATTTCTCAGAAATTTAATTAAACGAATTATTTAAGATTATAAACTTTTTATGAAGATGTTGGGCATAGAAAACTTTCAATTGAAAGTATTAAAAAGATGGAGCTTGATATATTAGAATCTTTAGAATTTAATATAAACTTAGTAACTCATAAACAAATTATTGATTTAATAACATAAATTATTGATTTTAATTTAATTATTTAATAAGAATATTAACTTTTTGATAAAATGAATCTTTACTTGTGTTTAGTTGCTTGTTTTAGTTATGAATTGAATGCTTAATTTAAATAATCAGAAATAGCTTGTTCTATTTTATATATTTCTCTTAAAATTATGCAGCTAAAAAATAAATAAATTCAAGTGAATAAAATTTTATGTGATATTTTAAATTTGATTAATGGTAATCAAAAAGTAGAAATAATACATTAGGCTTCTACTTTTTTATTATTTTAGTCAAAAAATTTTTCAAAGATTTTTCCTGATATAAAAAATATTTAATCTCCGTTAGACATGGTATGAAATAAAATTTCAAATAGATTATATTGATTACAATTAAAAAATTATATTTTAACAATATTCTAATTATATTTTTATAATTTTAATTTTATGTAGTTTATTGTTATTTAATTAAATATGTATAAATCACTTAATATAAAAAAATATTGAAAATATATGATATTTATTTGATGTTTTTTATATTTTATGTAATTTATTTAAGAACTCAATCAACTCAAAAAGACTAGAAAAAATGGATAACAACCTTTTTTTTTGATTGAGTTTTTAAGAAAAAATAAAAAAACATAAAAAAAGTAGTATAAAACATATAAATGTATTTCATAGTAATTTAATAAGTACTTGTGGGTAAATATTTTCATTTTAGTAATTATTTATATAATTCAATTAAATAGAAATATAAATTTCTATTTAATTATTTGGTATAGAAATATATAATTTTTAATGAAATTTATAATAATTTAAATATGATTATAACATAATAAATATAATTAAGAATAATACACTTTTATTTTAAAAGGAGTATATATTATTAAGTTATAATAAAATAGTAAATTAAAAAATCATACAAATGATATATTTAAAAACTATTAATATATAAATTTTCATTTAACAAGTAATTAGACTTAATTATCTTATTAATAAAAACTTAACACTTTATTATTTAATTTTCTAAAATACAAATAATATGCACCTCCAAAAATAATAATAGATTAAAGAAATACAATAATAACTCCCATAACTAAATAATTATTATTTAACTAATACAATTTAATTTCTTATAAAGATTCTTACGATTATTCATCTGAGCAAACCTTATTTAAATCTGTAAAATAGTACTCTACCCTGTTTTAAAATTCTCCCCAAGGGCATTAAACATTTTGACTTTCACATAGTTTCATATATTCGCCATCTCTTTTAACTTTTATAAATAATTCATTATCATCTTAATGTAATTCTAGAATAACTGAAGAGGCAAATTAGGGATAAGATACACATTCAGTATAATTTTTTGAAAAAAGCCCGAATCTTTAATTCATTAAGCATTCAATACTTGTAAAATTTAAAAAAGAAGAAATCAATTGCACATTAGTATCATGTGCACTCAACATAAGCCATTTTAGTTCACTTTTTCCTTCTATAACAGGCCTCATATAGTCAAAAACTTACATGAAAAAGTTTGTATTTAAAGCGCTTAGCAGATCAGGTCTTTAATAGTCAAAATTCCAAGAAATAGAAGTTAAAAAAGTCATATTATTTACCAATTCTTGTGATAAAAAAGGCACATATCTTCCATTATATAAATCGCATTATAAAGTAATCCAGATAGAATGCACTTAATTGAAATTATTAACTGTTTCATTCATCATTTAAGTTAGAATTTGATATGTTTGAGTAAATTCTGAATTTATAAAATCTACTAAGTCTTTTCTTTGAGAATAATATTCTTTTTATAGATGATGCAAATTTTTACAATTTTCATCTGGTTATAATACTAAATCATCTTTTGCATGTAAGCTATGTATTGGAACGACTTAAATTTAGTGCGGAAGTGCTTCCATTTATCCTTCTTCAAAAAAAGACTTAGCGTTTTTAAATGGAGGTAAAGTATAATTCTATAAAAGATTCAAAGGTAATAATTCGCCTGTTCCTTCAGGAAACATTCCTTGCAAATGAGAAGAAGCACTCAAATAAGTACGATTTACATCTGTAGAACGAATATAAATTTAAGAATGATTATATTTTTAGGGAAGAAAGTCTTTATATTCTTCACGAATCTATCGCCCGAAATTGTAATGTTAGCGCATTCCAGTCGATGTGAGTTCACCTTAGGATTATTATTTTGAGTCATACCAAGAGCCAAGGGGAGTACGGGCACCGTGCCGGAATAGTTAAGTAACAAATTTTAAAGTGCAGTTGATTTAATAAATATATATGATATAAATAAATGCTATTTTTAATAACTATTTTTTTTTTTATTTTTAGAAAAAATTATAAATTCTTTTATAAATATATTTTTTTAAAAGATAATAAATTATTTTATATATTAGTTTTTTTAAATAAATATACCAACTAAATTTAATTAACGAAATAAAATTATGTATTTTATTCATGGCAAAATATATTTTTTTATTAAAAATGTTTATATGTTAAAAAATTATTATTAACTAAAAATCTATGTTTTAAATAAATATTTTTTTAAAAAATAAAATATTTATAAGTATTATTATAAATAAAATATTACTCAAGCATTCATTTTATTTAAATTCAAAAAACTAAAAACATTGGAAATATTTATTTTAAAATTAATGATTTATTTAATAATTACTGAAAAAATAAAATTAATTAAATTTAAATATTATTTATAATATTTATCAAAATAATAACATTAATTTTTAAATTAAAATTATTAATATTAATTAATATCTTTTAATAAAAATTTATGATTTTAATTTATTTATTTTTAATATGTACTAATATAATATTAATTTAATGTGTTTTTATAGAAAAAATAAAAAATATATTTAATAAATTTACTCTGTATAAATTTTTTAAATTAAAATATATTTAATTTTTTATATAAAAGAAAAAATATTTTTATATATTAATATTTTTATATTTAAATATTTATTAAAAATAATCAAATAATTATAAAAATAAAAATAAAATATATATATTGGAAATTATTTATAAAAACCCATCAAAATATATATAAAAATATATATATATATATTGTATGGGTATTTATAGGTTATAAATATATTTGAATGGGTATATGTAGTCGGGGTTGGGGTTGGGGTTGGGGTTGGGGTTGGGGTTGGGGTTGGGGTTGGGGTTGGGGTTGGGGTTGGGGTTGGGGTTGGGGTTGGGGTTGGGGTTGGGGTTGGGGT